GGAAAATTTCCCTTTTCAGCATCGTCCGTTGAATCTATGTACCAGCTGGTTGGTCACATGCTATTCTCGCCAGTGAGAGTTTTATATGTATTAGCATTTATTTTTAAACTAGAGGCCTGGTGCACAAAATTCGTGCACTCGGGGGCTCCCTCAGCCGGGCCTGTGCCCTCTCGCAGTCCGGGAGCCCTCGGGGGATGTCTGACTGATGGCTTAGGCCCACTTCCCTAAGCTGTCAGTTGGACATCCTTAGCACTGCTGTGGAGGTGGGAGAGGCTCCTGCCACTGCTGCTGCGCTCGCCAGCTATGAACCCGGCTTCTGGATGAGCGGTGCTCCCTCTGTGGGTGCGTGCTGACCACCAGGGGGCAGCTCCTGCATTGAGTGTCTGCCCCCTGCTGGTCAGTGCTCGTCATAGCAACCGTCTGTTCCGCCTTTTGGTCGATTTGTGTATTAGCCTTTTATTATATAGGATTGCCAGTGCCCATCATATGTACTAGCCAGTTGGTCGGACAGTTGGATGGATGTATGGTCGATCACTTAGCCTTTTATACTAGTATATATAGATGAGACATGCTAAAAACCAGGACCAGCCCTGGCCGGTGTGGCTCAGGTAGCTCAGTTGGTTGAGCATTGTCCCATGTACCAAGAGGTCTCCAATTCCATTTTCAGTCAGTGCACATCCTCTGTTGCAGGCTCAATCTCCAGTAGGGGGCATGCAGGAGGCGGCCGAACAATGGTTCTTTCTCATGGATGTTTCTATCTCTCCTTCTCCCTCTCTCTTCTTGTCTCTCTCTAAAACTTAATAAAAAACATATTTATCTGGAAATGGCCCAAGTACCCATCAGTAGATGAGTAGAAAAAAAACCTATGGTATATTTATACCATAGAACACTATGCAGCAATAAAAAAAGAAGGATCTCTTACCTTTTAAAAAATAATTATTATTTTATTGATTTCAGAGTGGAAGGGAGAGGGAGAGATAGAAACATTAATAATGAGAGAGAATCATTGATCGAATGCCTCCTGCACACCCCCTCTAGTAAGTTAAGTTTACATATTAAGGGAAAACTTCTAAGCAATTAAAAAAGAATGCCTAAATAAAGAGTTAATAGAGAAGAAAATTGCAGAACGAACGTATATCCAGTCTCTTGATTTAAAACAAAGGCACTACTACATTTTAGTGAGGTAAGGATGGTCTTTTCAAGAAGTAGTTCTGGATCAAGTGGATATACATTTGAACCTTGAGTCCTCATTACATTATGCACAATGAGCTGGATCATAGACCTAACTATGAAAGCTAAAACAATAAAAGTTCTTAAGAGACCATGGAAAAATATTTTTATGACCTTTGGATGGACAAAGCTTTCTTAAACCGGACATGGACAACACTAACCAAACAACAAAAGATTGATATATTGGATTGATAAAAATTTATAACTTTTATTCATCGAAAGACACTAGTGAAGAAATGAAAAGTCACGTCTGAGAGGAAATCCAACAAAAGACTTATATCCAGAATATATATAATCTACACATTGGTAAGAAAAATGCAGAAAACCCAGTAGAAAAGGGGGCTACCACAGACCTCAAGTGAATTAGCCATTCCCTCTCCCAGGCTTTGCTCCTTCAGTCTCTCAGACCCCCAAGAGTACCCCTGGCTGACTTCTGGGTGAGAACCACTCACCGTCCACTCAGCAATGAGAACCTTCTCCTGCAGTCTCCCTCAGTCCCTAGGATTTACTGTCGTTTCCTTATCTGTGTCCCTGCTCCCCTCCCTTCCCCCACTCTCCAAAATATCCCATAAGCTCCGTGGGGGAAGAATTTTTGTCTGACTCATCTCTGTGTCTGTGTCCTGAGTACTAGGCCTGAGCAAAGAGTGGGTGTCAGCAAATGGTTATGGACTGACTGAACATCAGCAAGTGGGGGTATAGAGTGTAGAGGGCTTCAGAGGCCTTGAGCTGAGTGATCCAGTGTGGAAGCTCTTCTAGGGCAGATGGCCTGGCTGCCCCTCAGCATGGCCAGGGGGGCTCAAAGGTAGTCCCAAGGCCAGACAAGTCGCTGAGCCAGGCTCTCCAGTAGGCCTCAGGCAACTTCCCCAAAGTCCACTTCCTCTCTCCAGCTGGTCTGTTCTTGATACTGCCAATTGGTTAAACCCAATCAGAAGTCACAGGGTAGGAGATGCTGTTGCTGTCATCCATACAGGTCGGCAGCCAGGGACACAGTGGAATGAGGAGAAGGTGGGGGGATCTGAAGGGACAAGCAGAAGCCATCCAGCACAGATGATGTCTGTCAAGTGTTAGGTCACACCTGGCACAAGGAGAGTGCTCCACACATTAGCTGCCCAATCACAGAAGCAGCTCAAAGCAGCAGGGAAACCCAGATGAGGACTGCTTGTTCCTGCTCCTCTGACCTCTCTCTTTAAGGGGTTCATCTCAACAGGAGTCAGGATATTCTATGTATCCTGGGTCTGGTGGATGGCCTTCTCCATCTCCTTACCCAACTTCACTGCATTCTACCCCTTTGTTAGTGAGGCTGCAAACCAACCTACCTGGCTATGAAGGGCCCTGTCACCCATGGCTGAGTAATGGGTTTGGGATCCTCCCACTACAGGTCCCAGCATTGAGTCATTCCCTAGCGCCTGGTAAACACCCCTATCTGCCTCAGCTGCTCATGCTTAAGAATTCTAGGCAAAGGTCCCAGCTAACCCTTGGCAAGCCTGAGGGTTAGCGCACAGGATGAGTTCCTGAGGGGGCTCTTTCAGCAAGACCGGGACTGGTCCTCTAACAGGGTGTTCCACAATGGGCTCTATGCGCCCTCTGCTGGCCACATCATTTTTGCAGATGCAGGTTAGCAGGACCAGAACAGCAGCAGAAACCCCCAAAGTGTTCTCAGTCTTTCCCGTGGGAACCGTATTCACTGCTGGGGTCCCAGCATGGACTGTAGAGGAAATCCCAAATATTGATTGCGAGCATGTGCCTGAGCTGTTGGGTGACTGTCGGAGTGAGAGGGCACTGCTTGCCCTGAAGGTTGCTGATGTACAGTAGGGTCTGATGGCCCAGCCACTGTGGGAAAGCCATCCCTCCATCTTAGCTGCCTGGGTTATTCACTCTTCAGGCAGGGAGAAGCCCTGTCCAAGCCATCCCTGCTTTCCTGAGGCCCTAATTCCTGCAGATGATGGAGATGGACACTTTCCTGATATCAAACTTCAACTGTGTGGTTCAGGGTCAAGGATAAGGTCAGATTCTGGTTCAAAGCAACATCAGAGTTTCTGATTCAGAGTCATGGTTAAGGGCAGAGCCAGAATACAGAGCACAGACCCTCCTCCTCCTCACGTGAGAAGCCAAGTTCCACCAGATCATGCATGCACACACATCTCTGAGTGCATGTGTGCACATGTGCGCCTGCGAGCATGTGTGTGTGTGTGTGTGTGTGTGTGTGTGTGTGTGTGTGTGAGTGTGAGTGTGTCTGTGTGTCAAGTGTGTAAGGACTCTCCCAACAAAGGCTTGTCAAGTTGTTTTGTCTTTCAGGCACTAGAGGCGCAGTGATCATTAAGCTTCTCACAGGTTCATGCAAAACCTGGAAACAGAAAAACAGAAAACTACAAAAAAGAAAATATAAATACTAAATGCTAGCAGATGTAACCTTATATCATTATATTAGAGCCATGTTCTTACTGGGTAAATGTAAGATGCACTTAGATAGGATGTGGGTTTGCTGGGATGTGTCTGATGTGGTGTGAGGTAGTCAGGGCCTCTAGAAGAATAAGGGCCCTGGTCTCCCCGGGGTGGGTCAGAGTCCTGGGCAGTTGTCCCACAGGGACAGAAGGCAGGGCTCACCAGCAAGTTTGAATGATGGTGTCTACTCAAGGGACTGGGGGAGTCAGAGCCACAACCAGAGCTGATACAGGCAGACTAGTTGAAGGCAGGAGAGAGCCCACAAGAGGGGTTGGGGCCCTTGAAGCAGGTACACGCAGGCCTCAACCACCCAGGTGACAGGCTCCTGTGATTATGTGGAGGTAGTGGTTTTGTACAAATAAGCAAGGGATACCCCCTTTTTAATTCATTTTATTTTCATCTACTGGCAAGTTGTTGTAATGAATATGCAAATCTTCAATGTCTGTGATAGGAATGGAACCCATAGTTTGTGCACTAAAGAATTTACACACTTTCATTGGGCTAGGACCACTCATGAACAGATTGACTGACACCCGTCTCACTCCAAAAAGGATACAAGGTGACTTACAAACACGTGTCACTATCGCAAGAGGAAGTGCATCGGGCAGCTAATGTGGCAATGAGGCACAGGGAGAAGAAGGGCGATGTTAATGCCAAGACCATCATTACATAGGTGGTTACCTTGTAGTGGAGGGAGTCTGGCAATTAAGGAAACCAGACGTTGTGATTAGGATTCCATGTCAGTCTGGAACCCTGAAGCGTGCTGGTGTGTTCTCTGGGGGTGGCCACATTGCATTGTAGGGGCTGCCACTCATTGCCTTCAGCAGGGCCTGCTCAGGGGCAACAGGGCTGAGGGATCCAAGGGGAGCAAAGACCCCATTCTGGGTGAGGAGGAGGGCCTCATTTTGAAGTGGGAGTGCAGAATGGGGAACAAAGTATTCAATGAGTATTTATTGAATGAGAATGAACGAATGGACATAGTCCTTCCTCTTTATTAATTCTTAAATCTACTCACTTCTCTCAGTATGCATTATCATTCCCCAGTTCAGGTCACCATCAGCTTTCTTTCTTTCTTTTTTTACCTTAACCCTCACCTGAGAATATTTTTTCCATTGATTTTTAGAGAGAGTGGATGGGAGAGAGGAAGGGGTCGGAGGAGAGAAAAACATCAATGTGAAAGAGACACATCAATTGGTTACCTCCCACCCCACCCCCTACTGGGTCCAGGTATGTGCCCTTGACCAGGAATCGAACCATTCAGTGTGCGGGCTGACGTTCTAACCACTAAGAAATGCTGGCCAGGGCACCATCAGCTTTCATCTCTAGTGGTTCTCAACCTTCTGGCCCTTTAAATACAGTTCTTCATGTTGTGACCCAACCATAAAATTATTTTCGTTGCTACTTCATAACTGTAATGTTGCTACTGTTATGAATCATAATGTAAATATCTGATATGCAGGATGGTCTTAGGCGACCCCTGTGAAAGGGTCGTTCGACCGCCAAAGGGGTCGCGACCCACAGGTTGAGAAACGCTGATCTAGACTCTGCAGCAGCCTCTTCCCACCCACCTCCAGGTTCTGCCCCTCCTTCTCCCTCAACCCCTGCAGTAGGCAGACTGGGTGCTCTTCCTAAATCCCAAATCAGTTCCTGCTCCTCCTTGATCTTAACTCTGTTATTTTATTTTAATCCTCACCAGAGGATATTTTTTCCATTGATTTTTAGAGAGATGGAAGAGAGAGGGAAAGACAGAAAGAAATGTCGATGTGAGAGAAACACATCAATTGGTTGCCTCCTGCACATGCCCTGAGTAGGGCCTGGACTGGAGAAGAACCTGCAACCAATGTACATACCCTTGACCACAATTGAACCCAGTACCCTTCCATCCATAGGCCGATGTTCTATTCACTGAGCCAAATCAGCTAGAGCTTTAAAAAATATATATAGTCCCTTGGCCTGGCCTGTGTTTAAAAATATATATAGTCCCTTGGCCTGGCCTGTGGGATTGGGCCGAAACTGGCTCTCCGACATCTCCTGAGGGGTCCTGGATTGCGAGAGGGCACAGGCGAGGCAGGGGAACCCCCACCAGTGCACGATTGGGGATGGGAGGGACGTGGGGGGCGTTGGCCAGCCAGAGAGGGACCATGTCTGGTCTGTCTCACTCAGTCCTGATTGGCCAGATCCCAGCAGCAAGCTAACCTACTGGTCAGAACGTCTGCCCCCTGGTGGTCTGTGCACATCATAGTGAGAGGTTGAGTAACCTTAGCATATCATTAGCATATTACACTTTGATTGGTTGAATGGATGACAGGACACTTAGCATATTAGGCTTTTATTATATAGGAGGATATATATAGTTGATTTCAGAGAGGAAGGGAGAGGGAGGAAGAGAGAGAAACATCAATGATGAGAGAGAATCATTGATCAGCTGTCTCTTGCACGACCCCTACTGGGGATCAAGTCTGCAACCTGGCATGTGCCCTTGACCAGAATCGAACCTGGAACCCTTCAATCCTCAGGCCGACACTCTATCCATTGAGCCAAACTGTCTAGGGCTCTGACCTTAACTCTGGAGTGCTGCGTTGCTACCCTCACCATCATACTTAAACCCCTTTTTGTGGCCCATGAGGTCTCAGGTGATCTGCCCCTAAGACCTCTGCAGCCTCACCTCTCATTTCTTCCCTCTCCTCTACTTCTACTGGCTTCCTGACATGTTGATAAGGCCTGGAAAAATAGTCAAACCACTGAACTTCCAACCTTTTATACAGTAGCTAAGTCAGATGTCCAATAGCTATCCCCGACTATCACCTCATCCACACCCATTTCTAATCCCCATCCAGCCTCAATTTGTGTTCAAGGCTGGGGAAAGAGGGAAGGGCAGGGCGTGCAGAGGGCTTACATATTGTAGTAATAATCATTTTTAAAAGTATGCTTTACACTTTGTGCATCCAAATATCAAGATTTGTAAGTACCATACCTAACTATCTTCTGTCCCTTTGGGCATTTGCACTAGTCTAGATGTTTCTTGCCCAAGACAGAAGGCAGGAGGGCAGGGTGATAAGGGAAGCCAAAGTATAGGCCCCCTGTGTCGACCATGAGGGCCTGTCCTGGACCTGGTGGGTAATTGTAGCCCCTGAAGGCCCTGGACCGCCTCTCTCCACCCTGTAATGACAGCCCAGCTTGTGCTGGCTCAGCTGACTTAGCTGCAGGGGCCCATGGTAGAGGCAGCTGAGAGGGGACTTGTAGTCATTCTGTGGGGCCGGCTCACCTTTCACATGCACCAAATATGTGTGTGTGGCGGGGGGCAGTCTCTGGGAACACACTTGGCCAGTTCAGGGCTGTCCCCACAGGCTCCTAGAGATGTTACCAGATTCCTTTTTCCTTCTGGGAAGGGGGGAGGAGGGGCGCACCAGGCTCTAATTCTGAAGCAGTAGAGCCACCATTAGGTGGCTCCACTCAAGCTGCACCTCCTGCCCTCTGCTGTCTGCCTGGAGTCAAAGCTCTGGGTCAACAGGGACACACCTAACTTTTCTTCAATCCCTAATGGGAGGAACTTGGACGGGAGGGTTGGTCCCGTAGTCCAGCGAATGGCTATGTGCAGAATGTGTTGATGGGTATAGATCAGTGGTTCTCAACCTTCCTAATGCCGCGACCCTTTAATACAGTTCCTCATGTTGTGGTGACCCCCAACCATAAAATTATTTTCGTTGCTACTTCATAACTGTAATTTTGCTACTGTTATGAATTGTAATGAAAATATCTCATATGCAGGATGTATTTTCATTGTTACAAATTGAACATAATTAAAGCATAGTGATGAATCACAAAAACAATATGTAATTATATATGTGTTTTCCAATGGTCTTAGGCGACCCACAGGTTGAGAATCGCTGGTATAGATGGTGTCAATATACACAATTCCCTCTGTGTGGCATTGGTTAATCCTGGGGACTCTGCTCTGGGGAATTCCAGGAGGGAGCAGGCCTCCGGCTGCTGCAGTGGTTGCCAGGGCCTACAAGAGTCATCAGCAGTCAGGCCTTAGTGCCAAGCAGTGGAGTCTGCCCCTCTCCCCTCCCCGAGGGAGGGATCACAGGTGAATGGGGAAGGCAGGGGTCAGGCAGGCCGAGGAGACCTCTGTTTAAAGGGAAGGCCTGCACCCACCTGCCCTTCCATTCATTCAGTGCCTTTCCACCCAGTACAGATATTTTTTGCCATCTGCTCAGAAGAGTCACTGGGTCCTTCCCTCGGGATGGAGGGAATAGGGGGACAAGTCTGGCCTGTTTTGAGGAGCCATTGGCCAGTGACGGCGCTTAGGGACAGCATGAAAGCAGGGCTTCATTTGCTATGCTCTTAGCCATGCTAGGGTCAAAGGTGGCCCTGCATACCTGTTCTTGAGCTGGAGGAGGTGCTCTAGGATTGGGACTAGTCAGGTATCGCCTCCTACCAGTAGCCTTTCCCTCCCTGGACAAGGTTGCTGTGTGGATCTCTGTTCTCCTGTTAGTTTTCCCCACTAGATAGAGCTTCTTTGACATTCATGGCCCCCGAATCCCCACCAGAGCCTCAACTGTCCCCAGCAAATGTTGTGGAATGAATGTATGGATGAACACAGTAGAGTGATTACCAGAAGGGAGTGTGGCTTTGTTTACACAATGGATTTGGGGAAAAGGAGTGTAACATGGCTGTTCAAGGTGGCTGTTTATTCATTCAGCGACATACAACTGGTGTGTTTAGTGAGGTCTGCTGGAGGCCACAGTAGTAAGAGGTGTTCATGCATTCATTCATTTCTTCCTTCCTTCCTTTCCTCCTTTCTTCCTGCCTTCCTTCCCTCTTTCCTTCCTTCATATATTTTTGTTTCCCACTCCCTGTTGAGGTCCTGGGTACCAGGCCCTATGCTAGAGCTGGAGACACAGAGGCAGCTCCCCTCCCTGGGAAGGGAAAGTGGTGAAGGAAGTAGATATGGATGGGGCCAGGTAGCCTGCATGAAATTCATCCATGAGGAGCTATGGGGTCTGTGTGGGAACCTGACTCAGACTGGGCCCACAGAAGGCTTTCAAAGGAAACAAGCTTTTGGGAGAGAAGTGTTCTAGGCAGGAAGAATGACATGGAAGGCCAAGGAACGTTGAAGTGCCCAGGCTGCTGGAGCATCGAGTATGAGGTTGCACATGATAAGAGAGGCCATCAGGGTTGGATAAAGGGGATTGATAGCCTTGCTGAGATCTGTGTCCATTCTGGGGGCAGGGACACCTTTGAGGGGTTCTATATATGGAAATGACATGATCAGAAGCACACTGTTAACATAGCACTCTGTCTGTGGAGCACAGAAAGGGTAGAGGGAGTTCAGTGGAACTGTGGGCAGGGTGAATGACCCAGGTGAGAGATGGTGGTGTCCTGAATTTGGGCTGTGCCTGCAGGAATGGAAAGCAGCAAATGGCCTGAGATCCTCCAGGGAAGAGCTACAATGGGGAATGTGGTGGGGGAGAAGATGAAATTGACTGGGAGATGCTGATTTCATTTCCCGAGGTAAGGGGAATGCTGGAGCAGGAGCATTTTGGGTGGCGTTGAGTAGGATATGGGGTGATACTGAGGTTGCCTATTGAGTGGCCACAGAGAAAGGTTATGTGGGTCTGCAATGGGCCTTTGATTTTCCAAATCAAAATCTAATTATGAGCTATTTTTAATAACTACACTATACTAAAACACTAACATTTCCTTCCCAGTATATCTTCCTATGAGGGGAAAACCATTAGACACTTTCATTCTTTGCCATTGCAATATTCTGCAAAACTAAAATACTATAAATTCAGACAGGTACATAAAACAAAACTGAACTGATTCCAACAAAGCCAAGTCATGTTTCCAAAAGTAAAATCCATTAAGATCAAGTAATAAACATGTATGAGAAATTACAAGAAATAATGATCATGGTTAGTTTACAAATGCAAAATAATATCTAACTATCCCAGACTTGTGAATATAATAATTAAAAAGAATTTCATATGCTAGTTCAAATATTATGTACAATTTAGATAAGCTGGTCAAGTATACACCACATTGAATAAACTTACAATTATATTATCTTTCTCCTCCTTTGATATTTGCAGGTACATGCTAATAAAGAAAAAATGTAATTTTACTTTTTAAAAATTCTTTATTAGTTAAGATATTACAAATGTAACATTTCAACTGTGTTTGTTTCAGACTGTAAAAAAAGTAATTTTCCTTTAAGAAGGAAAAAAGGTAAAAATAAATTGCCAAAAATTTAATTGATAAAAATTTAATATCAATTACTTATAAAAATGAAAAAAAATTGAAATAGATACCATATAATTATTATGTAGCCTCCCTACTGATCTGAAACTACAGGCATTTAAGAAAGGATGATACTATGTCAAAAACAAAGACATAGGGATGCATTTTCTTTAAAAATCTGATTTGCAGATAAACTACTTTGTTGGCCTAGTTTTGAAGCCAGTTACAAAATCCATTTTCTCAGTGGTCCAGACTTTTTCCCAATTCTTCCAACTCAACAGAACTTCCATCGATTTCCACATTCATTGCAGACAACACATGTTGTCATTGGTTCATCAGCACTACGAGTTTGTAGCTGTGTGTAAGTACAATTCTTCTTTTTACATTTGCCACATGTGAATAAGTCAGTCTGGGTTCCGCCCGTCTTGGCCAACATTTGCCACATGTGAATAAGGCAGTCTGGGTTCCGCCCGTCTTGGCCATCTGATGCTCTCTGATGGCTTCTGCGGTCAAGTTTTTCCTCATCTCTTTGAGCTCATCACTAGCCATTTCCTCTGCCGTCATCCTAGCCAATAAGTCAGGAGAGATATTGCCACACAGCACATTTTTCCTTAAATTTGGATTCTTTGCATCCTTGAGATTTGATATTCTACTTTGTACTCTGTTTTTGTATTTCATGCCTGTATTCCTTATTTCTTGATATATAGCTTCCTCAATTTGAGATCCTAATTCTTCATCAGCTCCAAGAGCAATGTAGTCATCTCCTGTTCGAAGAGCGGCAGCAAGCAACTCCCTACACTTTAACCGTACAGAGTTGGAAGTGCTTGGTGCCCGAGGAAATGATGACACGTAAGTATCTTGAGCATTTGTCTCATCCTTTCTGCTGCTTGCATTGCCACTGGAGCGACTTTCTTCTCTTGCTTCAGGGCTATTCTGTGATGTAATTGCAGTATCTTTTTTCTTTTCTTCAGGACCTTTATCAGTTGATGGTCCATCTAGTAACTTTTTCCAAGACTTCATGAGAGACTTTGCTAAAGATGTCACTTCTTTATCTGTACTCTGCTTGCGAATAGCATTTGCTGACTTTCCAATTCTTGTGGACTGTAATAATTCCAGGGTCATAGAATATTCTTAAGCTCCTTCAGCAAACCCAATGCTCCAGCCGCGTTCTTCTTCTGCACCATCTTGTCCATCTTCTTGGCAATGCGGACCACCTCGTCCTCCATGGCTCCGGCAGGTTTCCCCCGTGCCCAGCCCGTTTGGGACCGGGAGCAGGCGACACTGGGGTAGAGATCTCGGTGGGGCACTCGGTGAGCCAAATGAGGCAGGCCAGGCCTAGGCCCTTCCTCTAGAACCCAGGCGGCAACAGCGGCTCCTCCCCCACAGGCAGCGCCAATTAAGCCCCGCGCGCTCTGTGCAGGCGCTACGGATTGAATGCAGGTCGATGCAGAGGGGCGGGCCCGGG